AAGCTTTCTTAAGGACTCCCTGCAATGCTCTGCATAGCATATGTAAGACTCCAAAATCTTCTCTAGATCTTTCTCTCTTATCGAATTTTTTCCACTACATTAGCTATTTATATTTCTCCTCATTCTCAACTATGAGGTCTCCATAACACTAGACTACAGCTCTCTTAACTCCCTCCTCATGTAGCTCACGTGATCCTGTTCTCCATGACTCTCAGCCGCTTGCACCCCTCAGAAATTCAGCACGAATTCCTTTTTTTGAAAAACTGAGAACAGTCTCTGAACTCTGATGAATAAAATGATCCACTTTGGCACAACATATGCTTGTGCTACCCAAGGACAGAAAAACCATACCCAGACCTCAGTGTTAATTCTTTTTCTCTCTTCCTATGGCAAGCAGCCCTGGGAAGTGCTACACCACTGGTACAGGCCTGTTGATTACTTCTAAGTAAGCCTGGGAAGAAGCATTTCAACATTAGAATTTATTCTTCTCCATGCCAACTCCCCATCTTCCCCTTGTCCTCCATAAACACCTGAAAAATGATATGCTAAATTGTTTGTGGTTACAGCAGGCATTAATTATCTCCTTCACCAAAATCAATCCAATGAGGGTTATCTCCAGAATTACTGGCGTCTGTGAAATACAGAGTGACAGATACCAACCAACCCTACTATACCAGAAGCAAAACTAGGACTACCTTTTCCAAACCAAACCTACGCCAACCCTCACTGGGTTTTGGCAAAACTGCTTATCTTCCGGACACATTCTCTCTTGAAACAGAAAGGCCTAAATGTTCTTTCAGTAAGGTGGGGAAAGCAAATCTACTTCTCATTTTTTTATGATGAGTCTGCAGTCATGAGTGGTAGATTAAGTAGGTTCTCAATCCAGTAATTCAGATGTGACTAATAACCTTTAAATAACTTAGTGTTTGATTGATCACTTACTCAGACCAGAAAACAAAAATCAGTTATTCTTTCAAAGGAAAAGCTTCAAAGACTTTTAGACATTTAAGACTCATATTGTTCTCAGTTTAAATCTAAGTGTGAATATAAAATAATACTTCTGGAAGCAATTCCACAAGAAACATTTGGACTAAGTCATGCCCTTAAATCAAGTGAAATGACTCGAAGGGGGCTATTTCATGTGTACAGCATTCACTTAGGTTAGTTAGTTCTAGGATATTAAGTCAATAAAATATTTCCTAGTATCCTCCAAAAGGGTATCTCTCAGTTGTAAACTTTATTTTCAGTGGCCTTCACTTCTTTTGTTAAGATTCCTTAGAATTAAATTATTCACCATAGAGCCCCAAAGCTCCACAACAGTTTTTCAAGTCACAATTATTTATGTCTGGGTTTATGAATTCCTGAGGACAGGGAACTTGTTGGAGGTCTCAACTTTGTGTTAAAGTACCCATGATATGGGAGCTGCCCTTTGAAGGCTAGAGCTCTTCACTTAGCCAGTTCTTCCCCAGAGCTCAGGACAGGAAGGAGGGAGACATACACAGTGCAAGGGAGGGAAACATCTGAGTGTGGGCACCAAGTGGTGACAGCTGCTACTCTCTGGCCATTCATGCATGTAAACTACTCCTATATTTTAAACAGTTGTATAACATGGGCAAAGTGTGCTCCATGAAATCTGTTTGGCACAAATCTACAGACTGGGAATAGATGGCAAAGGTAGAACCAACAGAAGACAGGAGTTGATGGATGGGGACACAGAGAGAGAAACAGGCATAACATAGGGCAGCGGTTTATAGTCCTACATAATCAAAAATAGAACATGGAGACAAATCTGGATATTGTCTTTATACATACTAATAAAATGCATTTTTAAGCATTCGATGCAAAGAAAGCATGTTGTTGATATTTTAAAGTATCTTCACTTTTACCCTGTTTTTGATGATCAAGAAAGTTAACTGGAAATTGCTCCTTTGCCAGGAAATTGCTAACATCATTTCAAGCCCAGTTATAAGAACCTGGAATCTATCCTCCTTTTAAGATCAGGACAAGCAAAGATCATCTCTCTTATTTTAGGAGCAAAAGTGGAAGTGGGATAAGCAGAGGTAGAGTGAAGGGTGGTATTGATACCAATTAACAAAATTAGATAGAGAAAGGGGAGTTAAGACTAAATAGCAAACAACTCTTGCTCATTTTCCCCTTAAACATTATACCATCAGTTTTAAAGCTTTAGTGTGCACATGAGCCACCCAGGGATGGCCCCAAGAAAACTGGATTCGACAAGTTTTTGGCAGAAACCTGGATTCTGTATTTAAACACCTACCCCAAGTCAACCATGATTCAACCGAACCCAGAAATAGCAGCTCTGAGAAAGAGCACATCAGCAATGATGAGTTTTTTCCTCTAAAAATGAACAGAGTAAGAGGGGCATGAATAGGAAATAACAATGGTGAAGATGATCTGGGCATCTCATTCTCTACCTCTGGCTTCCCACTGGTCCTTCCCCATCTTAGCACTTCTCCATCTACTTTGCCCAAATTGCAAAATGGGGATTGTTTTGATTTTTGTATTTTTTAAGGTTTTAAATTTTCATTTCAGTGTAGTTACATACAGATTTTCATACATTTTTTTGAAGTGATAAAATTTATTTTTTTCTAAACACACCCTATTTTTCTATCTCCAGAGACTATCAAGAACTTCATTAAGAAGCTTGATATGGGGTGCCTGGGTGGATCAGTGGGTTAAGTCTCTGCCTTCAGCACAGGTCATGATATCAGGGTTCTGGGATAGAGTCCCCACACTGGGCTCCCTGTAAGCTCAGAGGAGAGCCTGCTTCTCCCTCTCCTTCTAGTGCTCCCCTTGCTGTGCTCTCTCGCTCTCTCTGTCAAATAAATAAATAAAATCTTAAAAAAAAAAAACTCGATAAACTGTATGGGAAAATGAATGGCTGCAGGATGCAAACAGGTGGGCAAGATGAACAAAATCAGCAGTCATCAGATTACTAATATGTAAATCAAATATGTAAAACAGCAAGCTAAGTAAGTACCTTCCATTACCATCATCAGCTTCAGAGAAAGGCAAATTCCATTCACTCTCTGCCTTCTCTGTTGATCATTATGTAGACCCTGAACGTTGCTTTGGTAAAACAAACAAAAAAACCTAAGCACCGCTCAGTTTTAAAAATTTTTCATAGATCATAGAGACCGTCTAAGAGGACATTACTTAGTCCTGATACTACTCAGTAAATTGGTTGTTCAGGATAACTCAGCTGGGCAGTGGTAGGTTCTAGAGCCAGTTTTTTTCTGACTATCTTGATAGTCATGACCACACCCACAGGTCATGACATGTATGTCCTGGGTCTTTATCATTTTTAGAAAAATGAAAGATTAGAGAGAAAATAGCAGAGGTAACACTGTTATAGTCCACTATGTGGCCTTAAAAAAAGAGATTTGAGGGGACCCTGGGTGGTCAGTCAAATAAGCACCTGTCTTTGGTTCAGGTCACGATCCCAGAGGTCCTGGATCAAGCCCCACCCACAGGCTCCCTCTCCCTCTGTTTCTCCCCCTGGCTCATGCTCTCTCTCTCTCTCTCTCTCTCAAATAAATAATAAAATCTTAGAGATTTGAAAGAGGGAGCATCTCAGCTGAATCCAAGTCTATTAAACTTTATTGAGGCTAAAGAGAATTTCATATTCTCTACCAGATTTTTAAGGCAGTATCATCCCCAGTATTTTTCCAAGTTTTTTTTTTAATTAAAATATGTGATATTCTGAGAATGTGAAAATTCTTACTTGGGAAGAAAATGTCATAACCAAGTCAGTGGACATCTCAATATTCATTCGTGTTATGCAGTATTTTGGATTGCAGCTGAAATGAGTAAGTAGGAAAGTCAAACAAGAGTTTAGTGTATCAATTTAAAATTAGAAAGAAAGCGAGAAGGAGGAGGAGAAGAAAGAAGGAGAAAGAGAGGGAAGCACCTAGAAGTCCAACAGTGGGGAATGCATAAGTAAATTATGCCGTCACCTTCTGGGTGAGTCACGTGATTTCTGCGTGGCTCATCCACTGATCTGGAGTTACCAGTGGAAGAGTTTTCTTAGTCTTCACCTGGAATTTGCCAACTCAATCTGGTTCCCAAAGATGACAGGATCACAGGGATCCAGAGCATTCTTAAAAGGTGTAACTGGTGATAGGAAGTTCTTCTAATGACAAAGCAACTGAAGTTTCATTATGTCGAGGAACTTTGAGGAAGTCCTCAAAATCCACGTATTAAAAATATATTTCCTATTATAGATGCACCTACTTTCTAGAATAAAAATCAAAGCTTTGTGACCTGTCATTCTATTTTGTATATATTGTAGAATTATATCAAGTTATGTCAAGAGGGTCCCTCATCTTGGAAAAAGCTTTTTATCAGAGGGAGGAACCTGATGGCAGAATTTAAGGTGTCTGGATCCTGAAGATAAAACTGTCTGAAATCCTTATGGTAATTTACTTTACAACGTCTGAAGTTGGGTTGTTTTAAACCTTTGTTTTTAAAAATATGAGATGATGGGAACTCCTGGGTGGCTCAGTCAGTTAAGCATGTGCCTTTGACTCAGTTCATGATCTCGGGGTCCTGGGATCAGCCCCACATAAGGCTCTCTGCTCAGCGGGGAGCCTGCTTCTCCCTCTGTCTGCTGCTCCCGCGGCTTGTGCTGTCTCTCTGCCAAATAAATATATAAATCTTAAAAATAGGGGATGATGTTTGCTTTAATCTTTGAAGCTTTTCTTTTTAAAAGCTGATTTACAAGAAACCGAACGGTAAGTTTCAGTTTCGGTTTCACGTTTTTTTCCAAGAGTGCAGAATCCGCTAATTTCCCCACTGGAAAGCGGGGCAGCCCAGAGGGAAGTAACTAACCCTAACGCGGATTGACCGGGCTGGGCGGTGGACGGGCGAGGGTGGGCGGGAGGGGCGGGGAGACCTCGGCCCCTCCTCTAGCCTGCTCATTAGTGTGCCTCGCTCTCTGGCAGCAGCACCACCGCTAGGCAGCCCCGCCGCGGGGACAGAGCGTGCTGAGCCCACGAGCCCGCTGCCAGTCCCTCCGCCAGCAGGTAGGGAGCATCCTTCCCTCCAGCGGTGCCTCTGGCCATCTCGGGTGGCACTTTACTTAATTTTTTAAAAAGATTTTACTTATTTATTTGATGGAGATCGCATGTGGGCAGAGGCAGGCAGACACAGAGGAGGAAGCAGGCTCGCGGGTGAGCAGGGAGCCTGATGCGGGGCTCGATCCCAGGACCCTGGGATCATGACCTGAGCCGAAGGCAGAGGCTTTAACCCACTGAGCCACCAGGCGCCCCTCGGGTGGCAAATTTAAAAAGCAGCTGGTCTGAAGTCCTTTTCTTTGGGTGGAAGAGAAGAGAAGGACCAGGCAAAGCGCGATGGTTTGACGAGGCTGTAGAGCTGATACCTGTATAGACTAATAGGAACAGCTAAGAGGTTTGACCTTTCGTCAAACCTCTTAGCTGTCAAAAAAGGGCAGGGGGGAGGTAGGGATTCAGTTTTGCTTAATACCAGTTTTGTAAGTATATGTTTCTCTGCGTTCAAGAATATGGTCCTGGGCTAGGTAGCTGGTTCTAGCGGGAAATTCCTAGGCTGGAGGTCGGACACCTGGGTCCTCATCCACCCTCAGCTGCTCCCTAGCAGTATGCTCTGAGTAAGTCATCATACCGGCAGCATCTCCTAAGGCTCCCTCCTACTGTAAGAGCGAGCCAGGATACCCCAACCGGAGCTCTTTGCTCTGTTTGCTCTGAGGACCTTGAGTCCTGATGGAGAAATACCATGGTCTTTTTGTCTTATAATACAGGGAGTGTTTCAAGTATCATTGTTTGACCTTGTTTGCACCTAAAAAAAATGGCTTGTGTGATTTTTCTATGGATTTTTTTTTTAAGATTTTATTTTAGAGAGAGGGAGACCACAGAGAAAGAGTGAGAGGGAGAAGCAGACTCCCCACTGAGCAGAGAGCCCAGTGAGGGACTTGATCCCAGGTCCCTGAGATCATGACCTGAGCTGAAAGCAGACACTTAACCAACTGAGCCACCCAGGTACCTCTCTATGGATTAAATAGTCTTCTAAAATGTGATAAATATTTTTTAAATGGCTGCATTCCATGGTACAAAGTTAATACCCCATGCTAGGCATAAAGATTATTTATAGTGGTTAAGTGTCTTAGCCATTCAGTGAACATCATTGCTTGTAAATCTCTGGGACATTCCTGATTATTTCCTTCAGATAAACTCTTTTAAGTTTAACTACTGAGGTAAAGAGTCTGAATATTTTAAAGGTCTTTGGATTCATATTGGAAATCACCTTTAAGAAAGAGCCCCGTTTACATTGCCCACAGTTTTTAAGAACTGTGATAGTCTAAAGAAAAAAAATCAGCCTTTTTCAGTGGAATAGAGTAGGCAGAGGTTACAGGACAGTAGCGTGTAGTCTTAAAAGAAGCCCCTGACGTAAGTATGGAGATTTGAAGCCACCTGGGAAACATACAAGAATGTTTCAGGGTGACTGAGGGGAAGGAGTCTGGGCACAGGGTTTAGTTGGGTTTAATAGATCACTCTCTTGATCTATTAATGTGGTGGGTTTTCATCTTGGAGATACGTTGTTGAACTCTAGGAATTTTTTTTTTAAATTAAATTATAGTTTTTATAAAACTATAAGTATAAATAAAAGGAAAAGGAAACCCTAAACCAACAGCTATCAAGACACTTCTTGCTCCTATTTTTGAGAATGGAAGCTTGAATTCTTTTCCTGTCATTTCCTCCTACCTTGCTACCCTTGAGAGATACAGAAGTACTACAGGTCCCATAGTGTTATACTGAGTTCCCCAGGGGCAGACCTGCTTCCCCATTCTTCATTTCTTCCCTAGTCCACATTTCCTTGCTCTTCGAATGCTCTTGTTTGGGAATCCAGATATACCATCATATAGTTTCTTACTTGAAGATGTCAGTGTTCTCTTAGACCAACTGCCCTGATGTGGGGATGATGTAGGGAGCACGGTTACTCACATGGTCTCTGTCCTTCTTTTTTCCTCCCACTAATGACAGCTGTACTCCAAGGGAAGGAAGCCTTGGAAAAAGGTGGTATCATGAGGAATTAGGTAAATATCAACTCTAACCCATCAGAGTCCAGTAAACTTTTCAACCAAATTCATTTTAAGGATAGGAAGTCTACCAGAGTATTCCATAAACATTGGGAAAACGAATTTTAACCCATGAGTGGGTTTCATTTCCCTTTGTGTTCAGCAGTTCTTTGCTTGGGTATCTTAAAGGTTATCTTAAGTTTTCTTTTGCCCAACAAGTGTATTTCTGTTTATAATATTACAGTTGGTTTTCTTTGTTTGGTTGTGGTGAAATCAACTCTTGCCCAAGCAAAGGTCATGGAGATAGCTTCTGCAGACTCATTTCAACAATCTTCATGTTCTTACAGGCCTGCATGAGAACAGAAAGGAGAGAAATAGGAATTATGCACCTAATGCTAACAAGAGAATGATGATTATTTTACTTTATTGTTTTTTATTTTTACCTGCATATGTGTATATGAACATGAATGGTTCATACAGATTGATAAGAAACTAATAAGATAAACAGGGTGAAAAATGATGAAATAATTCACAAAAGAACCAAAATAATCAACAAACCCATGAAAAATTCAAATTATAACTTTTCAATAATCAAATTAGAAAAAATATTTTTCTAAAACCATACCCAGTAAAGATACAGTATAACTTGTACCAGTTATCTACATGTGTCAAAACCAGGAAGATGGTCTTTCTCCTTGATTAAAAATTCTACTTGGGGAATCAGTTCTTAGGGCCTGGCCTGCAACGTGGCACACCATAGGCACTTAAATATTTGCTGAATACACAAATATCTATGATATTTTTAAAATTGGGAATAATCTTAAACCTAACAGTAGGGGAACTAAACATTATAGGAACTCCAAAATATTTATGAATATCATTTGGTAAAATGGAAAACATATTGATATAGTCAATGAGAAAAATGAGTGTTAAATGTATGATAAGGTTATGATTGTTTTTACAAAGATTCATAGGGAGAAAGACTAGAAGAACAATGTGGTTGCAAGGTTGCTCAACCTTGGCACTGTTGACAGTGAGGCCTAGATAAGTCTGCTGTGGTGGCTGTCCTGCGCATTGTAGATGGTTAGCAACAGCATTCCTGGCCTTCACCACTAGGAAGTAGCAGTCCTTGCCACCACCCCACTGCATTTTGACAACCAAAAATATTTCTAGGCATTAGGAAATGTTTCCTGGACTAAAGTAATGGAATAGTCAGTGATTTTTCCCTTCTTTTTTCATTTTCTATATTGTGTTTATATTAAATAATGAAGAAAAACATAAAAATAAACTAATAGTATTACTCTGCCTCATCTCTGATGTGTGAGTTTCTAGGGTTCTTTCCATTCTACTCTTCTGTCTCCTAAACGTTCCGCAGCTTAGCAAGGTGAAATGGTTCACTAAATTTGTTTTTTTTTTTTCTAAGAAGAGGAAAACATACCCATTTATTTGAAAATATGGACATGGAAAAACACCAAAGGAATCATTAACAATCTCATCTCCCTTTTTTTTTTTCTTTTTCTCCCATCCTTTCTTCCTTTGAAAATTTATTTTAAAAATGGGGTGCCTGGGTGGCTCAGTCAGATGGGTGCCAGACTCAGTTTAGGCTCAGGTCATAATCTGAGGGTCATGGGATTGAGCTTCATGTGGGGATCCTCGCTCAGCATGGAGGTTGCTTGGGATTCTCTCTCTCCATCTCCCTCTGCCTTTCTCTTGCTATCTCTCTCATAAATAAAGAAATCTTTAAAAAGATATAAAAAAGTGAAAGCCTGCTTATTGTCCCTCTGATTTCACTCCTAGAGACAATCACTATCAGTATGTTGGTATGGATTTTTCTGGACATGCCCTGTGTCTAAACACACACAGATTTTTCTTTTTTTTTTTTAACTGAAGTAGATTTCTGCTACATGTACAGCTCTACAACTTACTTTCTACATCTTTGCAAAATTAATACAATTCTGTCCTTAATGGTATTACATTGTAGGACTGTCACAACATTTAACTAGTTAGGCTATCTGTAGTATTCCCAGTTTGTGGCTAAGATTAGCAATGTCATCACATCACATGTATTGTTTACGTATGTTTTTGTTTTTGTAGGATACATTTCTAGGAGAGGAAGTGAAAGCTTGTATGTCATATACATTTAAAATTTTAATGGAGATTACCAAATTGCTTTCCAAAAAAATGTTATATAACTTCACATTCCTACCACCAGGGAGTGAGAAAACCCATTTGTTCATATCCTTACGAGCACTAAATATTAGGAATCTTTATAATTTTGGTTAAGCTAATAAGTGAAAAATAGTACCTAATGTTTTAAACTTAAGCTTTTTAAAAATTGTTGATATTGAGCATCTTTCTTTTTGTTTTCATTTTTTAAATTTTATTTTTTTCAGTGTTCCAAAATTCATTGTTTATGCACCATACCCATTGCTCCATGCAATACATGCCCTCCACAATACCCACCACTGGACTCACCCCCCCCACCCGCAAAACCCTCAATTTGTCTCTCAGAGTCCACAGTCTCTCATGGTTTGTCTCCCCCTCCAATTTCCCTCAACTCCCTTCTCCTCTCCATCTCCCCATGTCCTCCGTGTTATTCCTTATGCTCCACAAGTGAGTGAAACCATATGATAATTGACTCTGTCTGCTTGACTCATTTCACTCAGCATAATCTCTTCCAGTCCCGTCTGTGAGCATCCTTACTGATGTGTAGATGTCATTTATATTTCTTACTCTCTGAACTGTGTGCTAGAATATTTTGCTCGTTTTCTGTTGAGTTGTGTGTGGTTTTCTTATTGATTTTTGGAACTATGTATATATTAGGAGCATAAATCTTCTGTCTTATATATGTATAGCATAGATTAACTGATCATTGGTCAGTTTTTGTACATATACAAGAGGTCAAAGAGACCTTAAGAGGGAAAACTGACTTCTCAAAGTGTGTAAACATATGTATAACACAAGAGGGAAAGTGTATTAAGAAATAAATTTGCTGAAATGCAGTACAAATCTTTATTTACTCCCCTACTTGAATATAAGGTCCAAAATGAGAGTGATTTTTCTTTCTTGTTCGCTGCTGTATTCCTAGTACCTAAAATAGTGCCTGGAACAGAACAGTTGTTCAATCAATGTTTGCCAAATTAAATAATTGGTAGAATTTCATGCAGAGTGACAAAATGAAGAATAGAATCTAGGCGGATTCTAGCCCTAAAAGAGTGGGTGTAAGTCATTCACATCTTAGTATGAATTGGTCAAATTCAACTGTTTCTCCCTCTCATTCCTGCTACTAGTAGAATCAGTTTATTGAGAGAATAGGATTTATAACTTGGAATAAGCGAAAGACAGAAGAGATTTCTGAAGGATGGCACCTGCAAGAAAAGTGGCATAGTTGGGATGGTGATACGGAAGGCTTGAGTAGGTAAGGACAGGATGAAAGTGTTCAGGGTCTAGGGTGGAAGAAAAAGCTTTGAAAGGTGAGAGATGTCGAGGTCAGGTTGTCCTTGCATTGAAATTTTGCACAGGGCAGGTTTGGATTTCTAGATATGTTATACTGCAGAAAAAAACATGAAATAGTTGAGAGGATTTTAGTATAATATTTTATTCTTAGCCTGTTTCGAGTGTTCATTACAAGTTTTTTCAGGCCTTGTAATTACATTTAAAGATTCTCATCACTGTAACTTTTTTCCATTTGGCTCTATAGGACTGTGGGATATTAAGTAAAGGTATTAAACTTCTAAATTCCATGCTGCATTTTCACACTTACAAATCAGTCATTTTTTTGGTTATCTGAAGGCTATTTATTTAGAACTGCCAGGACCCATAATGTCTGGGTGCTCAATTATTGAATAAAGCATTTTTGTTTTTATATTTTCCATTATTAGGTCACTCCAGAAAAATGAGGATATTTAGTGTCTTTGCATTCATGGCCCACTGCCATTTGCTGAAAGGTAAGACACCAAATCCTTTCATTAGGTTCTATATTTTAACCACAAGTTAAAAACTGTAATAATTATTTAAGATGAATGTAATTTTTTTTTTTAGTAGGAAGAATGTTCTGTTTTTCTTTCTGTATCTCATAAACCCATTGTATTGGACAAAGATATAGGCAGTATGGTCAAACTGAAAGTAGGAAAATTAACCCATTATCTATTTATCTATTACCTGTTATCCATTTCCCAGGGATAATTACTGAAACTAACTGTAAATTTTTTGAGGAGTTTCCCAACTTCTGAAAATTGGTCGTCTTTCTCTACAGCATTTACCATCACAGTTTCCAAGGAACTGTATGTGGTGGAGTACGGCAGCAATGTGACCATGGAGTGCAAATTCCCAATAGAAAAACAGTTAAACCTGCTTGCACTAATCGTCTACTGGGAAATGGAGGATAAGAAAATTATTCAGTTTGTGAATGGGAAAGAAGACCTGCAAGTTCAGCACAGCAGCTACAGCCAGAGGGCCCAGCTGCTGAAGGACCAGCTCTTCTTGGGGAAGGCCGCACTTCAGATCACAGACGTGAAGTTGCAGGATGCGGGGGTTTACTGCTGTTTGATTGGCTATGGCGGTGCTGACTACAAGCGGATTACTTTGAAAGTTCATGGTAAGGATGCATACAGGTGAAGAGGCCCAATCTTTATGAGCACTTTTCCCTCTTGGAGATCCACCTTGCTCTCCACAGTGGCAGTCTGCTCATTCATTCATTCACACGCTCCTCCAATGAGCATTTCTCAAACACCTCCTCTTTGGCGGCCCCCAGAGATCCAGAGCCAGACGTGGTAGAGGCATGTTCCACAGTATGTTCTGTTCTCCTAAAAATAAATTCCTCGTCCTTACATTTTTGTTATTATGATACATGTACTTGCAAACCATTCAGACACTGTGGAAGGGAATAACATGAATTACAAGAGTGTCCTTCTCCCTTCAGTGCCATCTTCCATGGCATGTCAAGATAGTAGCCACTGTTTCTGTGTCCTGCCAGGAAATTTTTTAATCATCTATAATTTTTTTTAAATTTATTAAGTCTGCCATCATTTTCCTTCCTTTATACCTCTCTTTGTCAACTCCAAATTAATAAACCCCACTGTGAGTTTCACATTTAAAAAGACTTGAAGTCAATCTATAAAGGCAAAAAAATATTATCAAACATAAAGGAAACTATTCTTTAGAGACAGTATAAACTATGCTCACTGGGCATATATTCATCTTGAAAGTCTATGCTGCTGTTATCTTGGAGTGTTGTAGAGGAACTGTGAGTGTCAAATTCCCGAGTACTGACCCACAAATATGTCATCAGGTCACCTGCATTCAAAATTTTACGTTGCCACTAGATAAGAAAAGGAAAACACCTTAGCTGATCTCCTCTACTTTCACTGTTAAGATTCATAGAATTGAGAGATGAAAGGATCCCAAGTAAGAGCAGCTAATCCAAACTCCCAAAGAACAGAAATCCCCCCAAGGGACCTTCTGCTCACATACTTTCCACAATGACACCCGTCACTTGGACCTCCCTTCCATAGCCTTTTGAAATTATTTTCTGATACTGAGCTAGTATCTGCCCTCTCTACTCACAGTTCTGAGATTATCTGCCAGCTTCTTTCGTTTACATGATGACCTTTTAGTGTGTGACAAGAATCCAGTCATTACTCCTTGTTCTTTCATTCCTGGTCTAACTGCCTTCAGTCTGAAGGTCAGTATTACAAGTAGACGTTTACGTTCATCGTAAAGGGATAAATGATCTTTGTAAACTCAATCCAAATAATATAGCAACTGGGAGAAATGCATCTATTTTTATGGCACATTACTGGGTTTCTGATTCTGGATCAGTTAATGCTTCTGTGGTCAAGATGTCCCTTGTCTTGGGAAGTAGATTTAATTTTCATTTTATTTTGCCATACACTTCTCCAGAACAGTGATATTTACGAAAGCAAGCTGGTGGGATCCCAGGTTGGGATTTTCAACTTTTCTTCAGCTCATCAGCACACTGACTGTATTTCATAACATTAAAGAAATTATCAGTGCTTAGTCTCATAACAGCCAGCATTGCTGGATCTGGGCTGGGGAGGAAGACCGTACGCTTGGCAGTCAGGTGAAAGGAAGAATAGAGCGTAAGTTTCCGCTTCCAGAAGAGAGGGTCTCTCATCAACCTTTGGCAAGTATAGAGTGGTACAGCTGTCCTATAACAAGGAAGAGTGTTCTTTCAGGTACTCTGGTCTCTCTAATATCCTTTGTTGATCTGTAATGTCCTTTGTTACGGCTCAACACAGTAGGAAACCTTTGGCACTGGAGGATTTTCCAAGAAGGGATTCCTGATAGAGCAAAGCAGATGACCAGCCAGATTTGACGATCTGATTTGTTCTGTCCATTCCGTTTTATATTATAAATTACTTAATTGGCATCCTAGTCCCAGTCCATCCTGTGGTCATTTGCAAACAGGGGTCTTGGGTGTTGAGTTGAGCTACACTGAGAATAAGCCAGCCACCAAGCTTCACTTGCATTGGGGCAGTGTCACCAATGGAAACAGCCTTCTTGTATGAACTTCACAACTCAAGGAAGTATAATTCCTGAGTCACCTCTATATGCAAATGATTTCACAGTAACACTTCTCTTCCCATCACTGCAAATATGTGGTAACACAGCTTCCCCACAGGGAGTTTACTCACCATGGGATTTTATAGGTGAAGCATTTCAAAACTGAAATGTGTTAAGATTTTAGTTTTGGATTAACTCAATTATTGTTATCACTCTGGGTATTATTGCCCCCTTTTTTTTTTTTTAAAAGATTTTATTTATTTATTTGACAGAGAGAGATCACAAGTAGATGGAGAGGCAGGCAGAGAGAGAGAGAGGGAAGCAGGCTCCCTGCTGAGCAGAGAGCCCGATGCGGGACTCGATCCCAGGGACCTGAGATCATGACCTGAGCCGAAGGCAGCGGCTTAACCCACTGAGCCACCCAGGCACCCTATTATTGCCCCTTTCATGCTTATCAGTTTAAATATCATACTCTCAGGCATTTCACTTTCAATTAAGAATGCTGTTTTTCCTTAAACATTGAACCTAATAACGAGGAAAATGAAACACCTACTCATACTTTAAGGAACTTAAATGGGATCAGACAACTGAAAGAACAAAATTTTGCAGTTATCCTGATGAAGCTAATTTGTTCATATGAACCAAGGATTAACTGCTATCATTCCCTACCAACCCCATCAATCCCCAGTTCACCAGCCAGCCTTTATATTTTTTCTATAGTGTTTTTCCCCATCTAATGTATCACGTAACCTGTTCATCCTCATCTAACACATACAGATGCACCTGTATTATTATTGCTCTCCTCTTTCTTATATATGTACTCCACAAAGCCAGAGATTTGGGTCTGTTTTATTTACTGCTCAATCCCTAGGAATTGGCATGCAAGAGGAGTTTGACAAGAGCACACAAAAAATATTTGTTGAATGAATGAATGAAATATTTCCTCAAATAGGATAGAGCTAAAAATTTTGAAACATGAAGAGGTTTGAAGATGTGAAAACTTATTTCCAAGTGTGTCCATGAGGCACTGCCGGTTCTTTCTGAAGACTATTACATGAGTACATTTCAATGGTAGTAGTAAGGGGAGGGGGAGCAGCTCTAGTACTTACTTACCATAATGGAGATTAACACTCATGTAGTACTTGTTACGTGCCAGGCCCTGTCCTAAACATTTTGTCTATACTAACTCATTTAATCCGCAAACGACTCTATGGGGTAGGGGCTCCATTATGTCTAAGATGTATGTTTTCACATTTTACTATCTCATATCTAAGTGTGTCTTTCTGTAGATGGCATCTTAGATTCAATGATGTGTGTGGTGTTATTCTCATTTTATGGAGGAGTAAATTAAAGCCCAAAGAAGTTAAGTAATGTACCCAAGTTCACTCAGCCAGTAAGTGGTAAAGGCAGGTTTTGAACTCACATAGTCTAGTTCTGAAGTATGTGTCCCAAACAACCAGATTTTACTCCCTGTATTTATACCTCCAGAGTGTATATAAAGTGGTATATTGACTTCAAAACTACAGTGAGCTTTTCTTGGTCTTGATGTAGCCATCGGATTAGCACATGTATCTACTAAACCAGGAGTCTGCATATGTTTTTGATAACGTACTCCGTCGGTAAAGCATGTTAGCTAATATGTGTGTTTGTGTGTGTATACAGTTAGAAAGGATATACTTATGCTAACGTAAAGGATATAGCATAAGAAATTGACATTTTTAAAAGGTAAAAGAAGTTGAACATCACTAACTTCATATGGTTCAACCTAATGTATTGTACCTTCTCTAAATGTATAAAGAGAAATTTTTAAAGAATGAAATAAAAATGTAATCCTGTTTTAATGCCTTGCTAATTATGATGATTCACTATCATTAGCTAATAGTTTAAGGTGAAATTCATTGTTAACAAAGGTGGATGGTCTTGAAAATCTTGAGTATTGGTTTTTGTTTTTAGTTTCAAGTGTACAGTTTAGGGATTCAGCACTTCATAAAACAACGAGTGCTCATCACAAGTGCCCTTCTTAATCCACATCACCTTTTTCACCCATCCCTCCACCCACCTCCCCTCTGGTAACCATCAGTTTGTTCTCTACAGTTAAGCGTCTGTTTCTTGGTTTGCCTTCTCTCTCTCTTTTTTCCCTTACGCGTATTTGTTTTGTTTCTTAAATTCCAGTATGTATGAAATCATATAATATTTGACTTTTTTTTTTACCATTTCACTTAGTATTTTACTCTGTAGCTCCATCCACATCATTGCAAATAAAAAAAAGAGCTCATTCTTTTTTATGGCTGAGTAATATTCCTGTGTGTGTGTGTGTGTGTGTGTGTGTATATGTGAGCGCATGCACGCACGCGTGAGTGTGTTTTTGTGTTTATATACACATACATACCATGTTTTCTTTATCCATTCATCAGTCAATGTACAGATGGGTTGTTTCCATAATTTGGATATTGTAGGAAAACAATATGAAGGTTCCTCAGAAAGGTGAAAATAGAACTACCCTATGTTCCAGCAATTACACTGCTAGGCATTTACCCAAAGGATACAAAAATACTAACCCAAAGGGATACATGCACCCCAGTGTTCATAACAGCATTGTCTACAAAACTTCCCTCTTCCCGTAAGACCCTCATGTGGCATACAAATTGAGGCCCAGTGTCAATTAGTAAAGTAGATAGAGCTTAGATTATTTCTTAATTATTATGATAAAAATTTATATGTAAGTGGAAGCTCTGATATTTTCTTCCTGTATCGCAACACATGCGTCCTACTTTAGAGACTAGAATAGTGGATATCTGACCAATGAGTAGAACAACTCCACTCATTTATTGGATCCTGAGAAGCATACCACATTTATACATATGCTTAGGCATAAAACAACACTCTCCTTTATTATTCTGTTAAAAATGATAAGAGTAAAAAAGCTAACATTTTACCTTTAGTACTTCACCATTATCTGTGATTTTAGTCTTGTAAACTAAATTGCCCAGAAATAAAGCCCTGTGCTATGTGAACTAGACCCTGTGATGGTAATACTATTTCAGGAAGTATGATCCATGGATTTATTTTTTTGAAGGATTGTTGACCATAACAGATACAAGGTTGAGGACTCAAGTACTCATGAGAACCATTATTTATGTGTTTTGAAATTATAATTCTGTTGCTTTCCAGTGTTTCTGTTGGTGATTTCATTGAATCAAGACCACAAAAACATCACATCATTTCATTCTTCTTTGATTCTGGCTGCCTTGTATTAAATCCCCGTGAATAGATCTTATCACAAAGCCATTGTTATACCTTTGGTAAAGGAATGGAGAGTCAAGGCTCTGTGTGGACCACTGGTGGTTACATTAAAGTATTAGGAGTAAAATAAAGATTATACCAACAGAATAATGATACTTTACCATGCTTGTAATGAATAAACATGAATGAAGATCTTAGGTGATGTAAATGCATTAAATAATCTACTAAAATAGTACACTTGATATCTTAATCCTAAAAGGGTCTCAAAGCAATGAGCTAAATTTTCATCAATGACCTAAAATTTAAACTTTCTTTCTTGAGTATAATAATTATTTAGATGATTTATTCAAATAGCCAGCATTAAAAAGTTCAAAAAATAAGTATCATAAATGTGGTATTCTGCATGAGATCCTAGAATAGAAAAAGGACATTAAGGGAAAACTAGTGAAATGGAACAAAGTGTGAAGTTCAGCTAATAGTAATGTTAACATTGGTTCCTTAGTTATGACAAATTCACCACGGTAGTATAAGGTGTTAACAATGGGGGGGGGTTGGGTGATAGGTAGGTGGGGGCTCTGTGCTATCTTTGCCACTATTCTGTAAATCTAAAACTATTTTGAAGTAGAAAATAAGTTTAAACTTTAAAAAGTGTGATTCAGGAACACGTAGTAGTTACTGTAATGATATCATACTCTTTTCATGCCTAATTTCTGATCCTTGACCCATAGTTGGAAGAGTGAATGGCACATGAAAATCAGATTTTCTGTTTATTAAATAAAGGCTAAGAAAACCATGCTGGTCAGCTGGAGAGGTTCATGTTACGAAGACAGAAATATATCAACAAAAAGAAAATATCCAGGAAGTAAAGTTAAGAAGAAAAGGGCTGGCCCTATGTAAAAACTATAAAGCTTTATGAGAAAGATACAAAGACTTGAGTAAATGGAAAGACATATTTTATATTTGGATGAAAAGACTATTGGTTTAAAGATGACAATTCTCTTTAATCTGTGCATTTGCTTGCAACTAATAAAAATAGCAATATGATTTTTGTAGCAAGGTAGCTGTTCCTTTGAGCTAAAACATAGCCCAGCTATGAGTGGGCGAGCTGAAGCAGGACTAATAGGGGTTTCTCACTGCTGAAACATCTGAACATCAAGTTTGTTTCTCTGAGAACCCACCTGAATTGATACTTTTCCTAATGTAGATGACACCAAGTCACATATCTAGTTTTGTCCTAAGTAAAAGCCCTGACTTCTTTTTGCTCATGACCTAGCCCCATACCGCAGAATCAACCAAAGAATTTCTGTGGATCCTGTCACCTCTGAACACGAACTAATGTGTCAGGCTGAGGGTTACCCTGAGGCTGAAGTCATCTGGACAAGCAGCGACCATCAAGTCCTGAGTGGCAAAACCACCATCACTAATTCCAACGGGGAAGAGAAGCTTTTCAATGTGACCAGCACGCTGAGAATCAACACGACAGCTAATGAGATTTTCTATTGCACTTTTCGAAGATCAGGTCCTGAGGAAGACAGAAACAATACTGCTAAGTTGGTCATCCCAGGTAATATTCTGAATGTCTCAATTCAAATGTACCTCCTACTGTCCTTTGGCCTCTAGCATGTTGCCTTTTCATTGTAAGCATCCATCGTTCATTAAATAAGTGAATGCATGCATAACACTATACTTACAAAAAGCTTCCTCATCTGCACTCATCCAAGTCATATTGCTGTTTAATAAACATTCAGCAAATATTTACTGAATATGCCCTATGTGCCAGGCATCAGGGACTCATAGAAGAGTAAGACACTGTTCACACTTTCCAGGAAACAGATAAGAAACAGGTAAGGCAATCCCATCCCATGTAGAAAATGCTTTTGTGGCTAAGGGACCTGGGGGCAGCTCAGGCAGTGTTGCAGGAATCCAGATCCCAGCACATCAGAGCTGCTCTTTTCTTTCCAGGGTTTCTGTGGTAGCTAGCAAATGGAACGTACCCCATCCATCCACCCCAACCCCAGGATAGTCTATGGCATTTCAACACAAAGCAGTCTGTCTGCTTAGTGCATGAGACATAAGGTTGTGGTCCCTGCCTAAGCTGCTCAACTTCTGCATGTTTCACTTTCCCTAATTACAACAGTTATGAAAGTTAAAAACTATTGGGCAAGGTTACTGTAGGAGTGAGTGAGCTACAGTGTATGAATATGATTTGAGGCTCTTCCCAGCACAGACTCAATTATTTCTTTTTCTTACTACCCTACAGGAGTGGGTACGGTGGGATGCAGAGTCTGATGAGAGGCTGAGACCTTTGGAGAATGTGGAGCAAGAGAGCATGATGTTAACATGAACCCAGGGGTGTTCTGAGGAGCACTTCTCATGCCCCCCACTTCTAGTAGAGATTGCCAGTTTAGCTTCAGCTACTTCAGAAAAAAACATTAAAGACCTCGGGTGGAAAATTCAACCAACAGGAAACGGCAATACAAGATTGTCCCATGAATGAAAGGAGAGGAAAAAAAAAGTTGAGAAACTTAAAGAGATGCTCTTACTGGGTTATAAGTCACTTTGGTAGGGGCTGCGTTTGTGGGTTCCTGCCATTTAAAAGTTGCTTTATGACAACTTATCTGAGGGAAGACTTAGGGTAATTCACCGAAATGCTTGGAGTCTGTTTCCTCATCTATCACCAAGGATTTTTTTTTTTTATTGCATAACTAACAACTTATTTTGAGATCGAAATAGATATAAACAGGCTTTGTAAAATGTAAGCTACTAGAGAAAGGTTGACCACTGTTGTGGCTTTAAAGCTTTCTGAATGAGGTCGTCAGGGATCATGACTAATGGAAGGACAGTTAGCAAGCAGTCTCTGAATATCATGTGCCAGGGGACCCTTTTCTTCCTTCATGGACCCACAGACAGACTGGTGGGAAGTACCCAGGATCAGATGTCCCAAGATGTTCAAACTGAAAAAGAAAAGACAGTGAGCAATGGCCTTCAACCGTGGCCAAACACACCAGGAGGTAGAAGCTCTTGGGCAGTGCCAGTTAGCCTTCCTGTTCCATCTTTACCATGTACAACAGGCACTAGCTTCTAGGTAAAAGAATACAAGGGAGGTCACCGAGTCTCATAGTTAGTACTGAGCTCTTCACATTGGCCTCATAATAAATTTATTATCATTTCCATTTTGTAGGCAGGTGAAAGGATTTGCCTGAGATCTCAAAGCTAGTGAGTGGCAGCAGAATGTAGCCCCAGGCCCATCTGTCCAAAGCCTGGGCTGCTTCCACTTTTCTGTGCAGCTCCCATTTTCCTATAAGCAGTATCTCACCATTCCAGCCACTCACTGGTCAGGAACTGTTTGTAATCCAAAGCTAACCGAAATTCAACTTCAAGGATGATTCTTCTCTTAACCTCTTCCCATCAAAATTTCATCTTCACTTTCTTTTTGGATTCTTTTGTTTTTCAGAACCACTTCCAGTTCCATCAAATGAGAGGACTCACGTCATGGTTCTGGGAGCTGTCCTGGTGTTTCTTGGTGTAACCCTGGCAGTCATTTTCTGTCTAAAGAGAAATGGTATCTCTTTTATTGCAATGGTCTCTACTGTGCATATGAGGAAATGTATGGGGTAGCTACTTTTGTCAAGGTGGCACTTATAGGCAGAGCCAGAGATGCTCAACCTTCTGTAACATGCACCTCAGTCCCATGTAACTGGGAACTCTCCTACCCAGAATGCTAGTGATGGCCCAATCAGAAAACATGGATTTATAAAATGCTGTCTTCTTACTAGCATTCTCTTCTAGGAGCTGCTTTCAATTATGCAAAGTGGGTTTCAGCTATGCTACCATGTGAAACTATGTCACCTCTTACTACAGTCCTGTTCATTTCACTATCCTGCAGCATTGCTTACATTGGCAGGTGGCAGTGAACACTTGTAGTAGCATTTCCAAGGGGGTGACAGTTGGACCATAGCTGCAGGGAAACCTGGTTTGCCTTCGCAAAGTGGCACAAACACATTCCGTTGTTCGATAGCAATGACAGTAAAGCCGTGCAGGATTGCTGAGTGAAGATCATGTGTATGGGAGTGAGAGGTGGGAGAATGGTATGTACAGAGGGGAAGGAGACCAAGCATCATACAGTTTCTTTCCATCATGCAAATAACCCCAGACTTAGAGTAAGGGAGGAAAAGCTAAAATGCTTGTCAGCTTGGGTTGAACTTGAGTCTTGTATTAGTTGCACTATTTTTTTAAAGATTTTATTTATTTATTTGACAGAGAGAGAGATCACAAGTAGGCAGAGAGGCAGGCAGAGAAAGAAGGAAGCAGGCTCCCCGCTGAGCAGAGAGCCCGATGCAAGACTCAATCCCAGGACCCTGATCATGACCTGAGCCAAAGGCAGAGGCTTAACTCACTGAGCCACCCAGGTGCCCCATTAGTTGCACTATTATATTGAGCTCGTTTCTGGGCACACTAAGAAATAAAATAGTTTTGTTTTGTTTTGTTTTGTTTTCTGTAGAATGGTGATGCTTTTACCATAGAGTATTTTACAAGATTTCTGGCTGAGGGTATTATATGGTTTTCAAAATAATTTGCATGTGTTTATTTCTCAATTTGCCCACGGGAACAATTAAAACACAGGAAAATGAGTCTATTCAAATAATTTCCTCCCATTTTAAGATGATTTAAAGTAGACATTTCCACAGTACTTTGAGAAGTATGCCAGGGGATCCAATGATGATCTGTGTGTAGAGTTATTTGAGGTCAAATAGGGAAGTAGAAGATGGGAGGGAATTCCAATGGTGGTTGAAAAATTCCCCACAGCCGCTTAAGAGGATGGGTGGATCTGGGAAAGTGGTGTAATTTAGTGGAGGTCAGCTATTTCTAAAGAATAGGTATTTAACAGAACTGAGACAATTATCCAGAATAGAAGGCTCAAGGTCCAATGACATGATGATCTTGAGATGGAGTAGATTAGTCCAAGGAAATGACTCTTGCCAGCTTGCATTTTGAATATTTCCCCATGGAAAGTAAATAGTCATCATTAGGAATGGCTAGAAAACTAATGTATAATAAAGTGTCTCAGTGTGTTGTCTATCTTTGAGGGAAGGATGGAGAATTAAAGTATATCCTCCTAAAGAAAATCTAGGAGCATGCACCTGCCTGGCTCGGTCAGAAGGCCATGCAACTCTTGGTCTTGGGGCTGTGACTTTGAGCCCTACATCAGCTGTAGAGATTACTAAAAAAATAAGTAAACTTTAAAAATAAATGTAGGACCAAAAGCATATGCCCTAAACTGTTGAATTGACCTCAGGGGTTGAAACCCATGGAATAAATTCAGAAGTCTACCAGATTTCCTAGGGGATTAAAAATGTTTCATAGGAACTTGGAATTGAAACTTGAGTCACTGTGTGGGATGTAGGGCTGTGTTACAAGGGAATAGAAATGACTTTTTTTTTTTTTTTTTCCTCAAGGGAAAATGATGGATGTGGAAAAATGTGTCACCGGAGACAGGAACTCAAAGAAACAAAATGGTAAGAATATTAGCAGGGGTTAGAAAGTTGAAAGAAATAGAAACAAAAAGTTAAAGTAATAACAAGGAGAAAGCTATCAGCCATAATCTCTCCTCACTTTAAAGAATGCTGGCTGTTGGAACTGCTGGCTCCTCTTTACCTCACAACTTACACAAGAAATCTTCCCACAGTCCGAGGAAATTTAGGGGTAGCCCTGGCATGTAGACAGGTGAGCAGCTTTGGGGATGGGGGAGGAGGCAGCTTCTCTCTGCTAGAGTTATAGCTCTGCGTCTTAACACCTCCCTGCAAAAGGGGACCAAGTTGACTTAAGTGGGTGAGTAAGATAGATAGATAGATAGATAGATAGTTAGATGAATGAAACTTGAGCAGCAGACACTGTGCTAACTACTTCATATACATTGCCTTGTTTAATCTCCCCCCACAAAATCAAAGAGATAAATACAAGGATATTTCCTATTTTATAGTAGAGAAAACAGAGGGTCAAGAAAAATATCAAATTGCCCAAGAACATACCTGGAACCCACTAGCCTGACCGTAGAACTTTACTCTTAACCTATCCATTTAAATTCATTTTACCATAAATATTTCCATTTATAAAACATCAGAAGGACCTCACCCAGCTGACTGAACTAAGAAGAAAGTTATGTTAAGATTTCTAATTCTTTTTAATGCAATTAGAGACCAAACTTCACAACAAGCCCTAATTTAAAGTAATCTAAGTAAGTTGGTTGAGCCCAGGCAGGTTTCATTATGTGGTCAATTCCACTCAACTCTTTTATAAAACTAAATAGTGAATGTTGTTTGGCGAATCCTAGGGTGACCAGCCATGTCTCTTGCTTTGCCCAGAATTAAGGAGTTTTTCAGGACACAGGACTCCCGGTTTTAAAACCAGAACAAACCTGGGCAAACCAGACAGTTGGTCACCCTTTATCATATAAAGATAATGAGACATAAATATCTGCCTCTCTCTCATTGCGAATCTGTTCTATCGTCTAGCAAGTATGAGTTATGCCTGTCGTCATCAGTCTCCAGAGATACAATTTGAAGAGACATAATCCAGCATTGAAACTCCTGATCTTAAAAGCAGGGATTCTCTGGCCGTGGTTTGAGTGTGGCAGAGCAACGCATGACCAGAGCAGCGCCATGGGCCAGGCGAGCTGCAGATGATGCAGGACTTCCAGGCCCAAGCACTCAACTGTGGAAGCTGGGAGAGAAGAGGAAGAGAACAAAGCAAGAAGGAGCAGAGGGGGTAGGCTGCAAGGTCCTTCAAAACAACTGGGAGACTCACGGGCACCTAAGGGAGAGAGAAGGGACGCTTCTGAAAGATGAGCCCCTGTGCAAATCGCCCATCCCTCATCCGAGGAAAACAAGTTGCGATTCCCTGATTTAATGGTCAGTTCCTGCAGAAGTGCCCTTTGCCTTCAGTCAGTGTCTCTGCTTGTCGTCTGTGTGACTGAGAGTCCCAGTGTTGCAACAGTATTTAAGTATGGGATTTTTATTTATTTTGAGCCTTTGGAGTCTTGTCATGTGAGTGTGGTCATGAATGATTTCTTTTGAAGATATACTGTAGCAGAAGTTAGAATTTTGTCACGAAACTAAATTTACTGCTTGGTGAGTTGTACATGCTCAGTAAAATGTGTAGTATTGATGAAGTACTTAGTATCCTCCACAGCTACCAGGACATAGGAAGCGTAGAGAGCAGACCCATGGTTTATATAGGATATTACCTTGTTTAACCCACCAGTACTTTGGTTGACTCGAATAATCTTATTCTCAGACCCTAAGGTAAGATATGTTACTGCAGCATCTGTTCCATTTTAAATGTCAGCGTTAACAACTATGTGGCATCCTACACACAGAATCTCATTTAATGCCTGGGATAGCTATGTTGTGGTAACACTGTTATCATACCCATTTCACAGCTGAGGGAGCAGAGAGCTAAAGTAACTCGCCTGAGTCAGTAAATAGCAGATCTCAGATTTCTACAACTGTCACTCACTGTCCTTTTAGGATATAGTCTAGAGCTGTGTTTTGCTTTAAGAAATTCATTCAGCAAACATTTAGGAAGCACCCATGTCACTAGGCCAGGCAGTGACTGAGCAAGACAAAGAACCTCTCTTTTAGGAGCTCATAGTATCATGGGGGAGACTGAAAAGGAAATTCATTATTACAGCTTAGTGCAGTAACATGACATAAGGTGTTGGAGGAGAAAGATGGCGTGAAGAGGAGAGACTAGAAAGGCTCCCTAAGGGAGGGCATGCCCTGGGCAGTATGTCAGGGTGTTCCTTGGAAGTTCAGAATACATTTTTTTAAATATTTTATTTATTTATTTGAGAGAGGGAAACAGAGAAAGAGAGAGCATGAGCAGGGGAGAGAGGCAGAGGCAGAGAGGAAAGTAGACTCCCTATTGAGCAGGGATCCTGACATGGGGCTCAATCCCAGGACTGTTCGATCACAACCCCAGCTGAAGACAGACACTTAGCCATCTGAGCCACCCAGGCGGCCCCAAAATACATTTTAATCAAACTGATTTTAGTTTATGAGGACAAGTCAGTATTTTTTTAAATTGTGGAAAATAACTCTTGAGCTCCTTTTCTATCATTATATTTATGTTTGATTTATTTGCCTTTGCCATGCAATCTGATGTTTATGTATATGGTGTTGTTATTGTTCAGCAGTTCTCTCTTTTTTTATTTAAGTGCTGCTAAAATTTGAATTCATACCTTTCTATGATTCAAAATGCAGAAGGTCCAAGAGGAGACATTAAAAAGTCCTCATTCCATCTTCCTAGCCATCAGTTTTCCTTTCCAGAAGCAGCTACTCTTGCCTTTTGTTCTTGTAATCTTCTAAAGATATTTGATAGTATATGTAGAAACATATATAAAAGGTATATTTTTATTCACATAAATGGTAACACACTATTTGCCTGCTGTGCACTTTGCTATTTTTATTTACTGTATTATTTCTCATGGGGCTGTTGGAACAAATGTGAAGTTCCCAGAGGCCAGACACTATCTCTTATTTATGTCTAGATCACTTTTCCATAGCCTGTTAGTATCTTTTATAAGACTTAGTACATGCTAACTATGTACTTCATTGACGTTTGGATGACAAGTAATTGTTGACTGATTGCTGTATGACTGAGTTTGGATTTGGTTTATTTTGCATTCCTCATAGTGAGACCATTGGGTTCTCCAGGGTACCCTGGGTCAACCTGGTCCTAAAAAGGCTCACTTTATTACTAATTCTATATGACAGAATCATGTCTGGAACTTGTGTTTTTTTCCTATCTGTTTTCTCTTGAGTAGAAACTAGACTTTGATATTGTATTCGCAAAATGACAGGAGTGGGGGCTGTGTTGTGTTTTGTTTTGTTTTGTTTTTTGGAAATTTCAGTAATGTACGTTGACTCCTACCTGTGCTAGAAAAGGCCATGAGCTGTGCCCGAACCCCTGAGTCCTACCAGTTCTCATCACTACGTAGATCTAAGATGTTGCATTTCAAAGGCTTTGAGGTTCCCATGCCTCCAGGAGGAGGCATATTCCAGCATATTCCTGCTCTCTTGGCCATTTACCTGGGTTATCGACAAAGAGAACCTTTGTTTTGCCACCGGTCGAGGCTGAGGAAACAGATTCTCCGACAGAACTCCTTCTGTTGTCTTTTTGTTCCTGTCCACCTGTACAGCATCCCTTGTTTGCGTGACGATATCCTTTGCGTGAAGTGTAAGGAGGATTCTGGGTGAGCCAGACTATGCTCTATTCACTCCATTCCTAGATGTTAATGTCTCTTAGGTGTTGGGTTTGGAAGGCACTTTATCCCCCTGTCTTGTGTTTCACTCTAAATGGCTTGGCAGAGAGGCTATTTAGTTCTACATTTTAATTGTCATTGTTTACACCTGCATTAATTTAATAAAATATTCTTATTTATTTTGGTCCTTGGTGCACCAGCCTGTCCACTGTCTTGTTTTCTAGACTTTATAAAACAACACCCAGTGTAACGTCCCGATGGACAAAGTTCCTGGGAATATCCGTAGCTACCTTCCTAGTTCTTACCTTCACGGCTGCTGTTTATGTGGCATTCTCTTAGTTCTGTGCCAATAAAAATGCTGAAAAAAAGTATTTTCTTCGAAAGAGTGTATTGGAAACTTTCCTTCTTTCTTACTCTATAGCTTCTTTTAGGACAATACCAAGAAAAGAGTCAAAATTGCGTTGTACAAATTGAAGATCGGAGGGAGGGAGAATGAGAGAGAAGGAGTGGTCCCCAAGACGGCTCTGAGGAAACAAAGGGACTTTCCTCTCAGAGAGGACTCTTCTCAGATCAGTAAACATGGATACGCAAGCCAATGCCTATAAAGCTGGACATGTCCCGTCTTCACATTCTGAAAAGGAAGTGAGATGTCTAGCATGAAGTCAAGGAAAGGATTAAGGCCTGGTCTTGGGGTGGGGGGGGGCATAAAAAAATTTATAGGAAAAGACAAATATGAAAAGGTTTGTCATTCAAAGAAGTATAGGACTCTTAATTGCTGAGTCAGCAAGCTCACTTTAAAGAGACTTGTGATCATTTCTCTGAATCAGACACTCAAAAGATAACAACTATTCCTAAGAATACAGTTGGATTCTAGATGTTTTCAAGAAAGACTGAGTATCTCTGTAGAAAAGATGATGACATGATACTTGTGCCAGCTGCTGGAATCAAAGCGATAAAAATAAGTGCTAGGCAGCAGAATAACCTTTCTGACAAGTCTTCCGGGCTGACTCTGGTGGCCATGGTTCTGGCTGGAATTCTGTGACATTGGAGGGGTGGGGGCTCATATTACAGGAAAAGAAGCCTGAAAATGAACTGTAAGCTTTCATTAAAGTTTTAGTCCAGTCCTTTTTACAAGCATGCAACTCTCTGTTGCAAGGGGGTCAAATATATTTTTATCTAAATATTTTAGAAAACACATAAATTATTACTCTTTTAAAAGTTAGAATTCAAAATTAACTTTTGCACTGTTGCTGTTGCTGGCCAAATTCGTGAAGACAGATACATTCTATTTTTATAATTTTTCCCTGCTCCAGGTCCCCAGAGTTTCAAGGAAATTAATATAATAAGCCAAATTATCCTTATTGTAATTATTTCCAGAATTATTTATATTTTAAAAGAAATTAAAGTTTGAAGAAATTTTGAACAGTTGTTAGTGGTAGGGTTTTATCACTGATAGTTGTGACAATCCCTATTTATTGAGCATGTACTCCATGCTAGACATTGGGATTACATATATTCTCTCATTTAATGCGATGGGCTTGTGATGAGATATACCAAGCAATACTTTTATTGTAATTCTTGCTGATTATTTACTTACATCTTTCCCTCAACAGAAAAACACAAAATGGCCATTTAAAAGTAATGTTTATAAGACTTTGACGTAATTTCGAATAGAGAGTAAGTGGCCAAAATGGTTGAAATGTACACTTCTTATTAATTATCGTGAAGTTCATATTTTGGCTCCATTTTCCACTGATTTATGAATGTATTGCACATTCTGTAGTATAGAAAAGTGGAATTGGATTGTCTGGAAGTTCAGAATATCCATCTCCATCCCAAGAAACCGATACACACAGATTCCTGACCTCCACACCAGTGTGGCCTCCTTGGATCTCTTGCAGAAAAGGAGAGTCAAAGCTGGGGAGACGGGCAGCAGTCTGTTGTGTGGAGTGAAATCACATCCAGGCCTCAGGATTCAGTCCCTCATCAGAGCCTTTCAGGCTAGATGGCAAACCAGGGGATGATGGGGCAGGGGAGGGGAGGTTAGAAATGGTAACACCCTCTTCACTGCAAAAGGGACACCTAATAGAAGGCTAGGTCTAAGACTATAGGCAGCAGTGTCTGAGTTGAAGGGGAGGTAAAAACAAGTAAATGTCTAATCTTGCATAATCTCCGTCCTGGAAACCAGCCAAAGAATCGCACACTCTCAAATTCAGTGCATTGCAATCACTGGGATGACTACAATGGTGGTGAAATTGAGTTAGGACAGTGCTCCAAGTGCCTACATTTTGAGAGAGGAAAATTCTCAAGATAAAGAAGTAAATGGGTTTATCAGAAGGCTTTGGCAAGTTTCAACATATTAATCTGATTTTTGTTCATGTATTCCCCTCTACCTCCGCTCTCCTTTGTAACCTAAGAGTTGATATCCCTTCCCCCGCCTGGCAAAGCTGAGACATTGAAAGTATCTGAAATTCCACTCATATTTTTCACAGTTCCATTACAAACATCTCAATGTGTCTCAGTTCCTCATTGGACAACTTCTACAGGCCAGGCATTCACGAGGCATTGCGGAGTCAAAGATACTAAATGTGGCTGCTGTCATTATGGAACTTACTGTCTAACTGAAAACATGATACATAGATTCAAGAAAAGTAATAATTCAAGTGCTAGAGAATATGAGAGTTTAAGGAGTTATCTCAGGGCAGTGAGAGGAGAGGACAGCAAATGTTATAATGTAGGACTCACCAATGAGGCCAGAGTCAGCTTGGACCTTGGAGAGTGGAGAAGATGCTTACCTCTGATGGTGTTCATTTTTAGTCCATGCAGGCTTGTATAACAAAATATCACAGCGCAGGTGACTTATAAAAGACAAATTTATTTCTGACCTTTCTAGGGACTGGGAAGTCCAAGCTCAAAGTGCCAGCATGGTTGTATTCTGGTCAGGATCCTCCTTCTAGTTTGTAACTGGCACCTTCTCGCTATGCCCTCACATGGCAAAAGGGATAAAGGATCTCTGTGGGGTCTCTTTGATATGAACACTAATGACATTCATGAGAGTTTTGCCCTCAGAGCCTAAGAACCTTCCAAAGGCCCCATCATCTTAATAGCATCATCTTTGGGGGTTAGGATTTCAGCATGTGGGTTTGAGGGGAAGGACACAAACATTCAGACTATACCATGTGGAGAGCAGTTCTTAAAAATTTTATTTACTTATTTATTTATTTATATACACGATTAATGTAATGGTAGAAGAAAATCTGCGATCCCTTACATTTTAGTGGGAATATAAATTGGTGCAACCTCTGAAAAGGATAATTTGGCAATATCTGTCAAAATTATACATGACCCAGGAATTCAACTTACAGAAATTTACCCTACGGTTATATTCTCATACATAAAAAAATGACGTATGTGTAAGGATTTTCATTACAGCTTTGTTTATAGTAGCAAAACACTGGAAATAACCCAAATGTCCATCAATACGGAACTGGTTGAATGAATGGGGCAGCAGAATCCAAACAAGAGAATACTATATTCGATAGCCACATAAACAGATAAGGAACTTCTTTCAGTACTGAT